AATAGCAAATAAAGTTGATGAGCTGAGGGCACAGAGAGACACATAGCAACAGAATATCATAGTTATAAAACAAACTTGGCTTAAAAAGGGGCAAAGAAGGGCAGCTCAACCTCCCTGAATACAGAATTTTCAGGTGAAATAGAGAGGTGGATAAAAAGGCGAGGATGTAGCATTGGTGAAGGAATCAATTACAGCTAAGAGCATGAATGATATACAAAACTGTTCATCAAATGAGCCCAGGTTTGAGGTCAGGAATAAAAGAATGGGACAGCCACACAACGAGGAGTGTACTATCAACCCTCAAATAGTGAGAGAGAGAAGAGCAAATATGCAGGCAAATTTGAGAGTGCAAAAAGAGGGCAATAATATTTGGAGACTTCACCTACTCTAATACTGAAATGGATTTGCAAAGTAATAAAGACACAGAGGGCACAAAGCTCTTGAACTCCATCCAAGAGAATCTTTTTAGCCAGCATATAACAAGCCCAACAAGGGGGCCACATTTCTGGACTTACTTTTAGAAAATGAAGTTAGGCAAATGGATTAAATAGCAATTAGCAATGGATGACCATTACGGAGATAATGACATTAATAGTTAGATTTAGCATCATCATGAAAAAGGACAAAGATAGAGCATGAATAAAGATTCTAAATTGAGGGAAGGCAAATTTTACAAGGCTGGGAAGTGACCTAACAAAAATGGACTGATACAGCTACTTAAAGGAAAACCAGTTGCAAGGCTTTTAAAAAAAGGAAGATTCGAAAGGCACAGGTAGGTCCTCACAAAGTAAAATGGTAGTTCTGTCATATCTAGAGTCACATGGCATCCAGGAAAGTACAGGGCAAGATAAAGACAAACAGGCTTATGGCAGTCACACAAAAAAAACTCTTAATACTGTGGAAAGCCTACAGAAGCACAAATTGCAGGGAGGAAGTAAAATTGGAAATTAGGAAAATCAAAGAGAGGATATAAAACATGGAAAATGATCAAGAAACACTCAAAGATGTTTTGTTATACATGATGAGCAAGAAGATAATGGAGGAAACAATAGATTAATGATGTACGGGTAATTAATGCACGAATTCAGATAACGTGGACAGGGCTCTTAACGATCACTGTCTCTCTCTTCACAAAAGGGGATGAAGATGATGCAGGCATTCTAGTTAAAAAGGAGCAGTGTGAAATATTACCTCATGTTATATTAATCGTAATTAAGTAGTGGATGGACTGATATCCTTGAAAATGGATACATCACCAAGGCTGGATGGATTGCATTACAGGCTATAAAAGACGCTAAGCAGGCAATAACGGGAATTGAGAATCATTTTCCAATATTCACTAGTCACAAGCAAGGTGCCAGAGGCCTGGAGGCCTGCCAACATTGTATCATTGTTTAACAAGGGTGTGAGGAATGGCCAAATAATTAAAGGCCAGTCAGTCTGACCTCAGTGGTGGGCAAATTACTAGAATCAGTTTTGAGAGACAGGATAAAGTGTCTCTTAAAAAGGCATAGATGAATCAGGGACAGCAGTATACTTTTGTTAATGGAATGTCATGTCTTGCTAACTTAATTGAATTCTTTGAGAATGTGAAAAGGAAGATTGATGAGAGCAGTGGAGTGGAAATTGTGTATCTTGATTTTAAAAGGCATCTGACAAAGTCCTACATGGCAGACTGGTCAGAAAAAGAAATGTTAATGGGATACAGGAGAATATAATTAGTTGGATCTAAAAATGACCAACAGAAAATAATGGGAAATGGTTAAAGGATATTTTTGTGAATGGAAAACAGTTTCCAACTGCATTCCACTGTGCTCAGCATTGAGTCTAGCACTGTTTGTGGTATGCATGTCGATGATTTAAACTTAAACATGGGAGACCTGGTTGAGAAAATTGCAGATGGCACATCTGGAGTAGTGTGTCCAGTTCTGGTCACCTCGTTACAGGAAAGATGTGGAAGCGTTGGAAAAAGGTGCAGAGGAGATTTACCAGAATGTTGCCTGGAATAGAGGGAAGGTCTTATGAGGAAATGTTGAGCGCTAGAGCTTTTCTCTTTAGAACAACGAAGGATGACAGATGACTTGATAAAGGTGTACAAAATGACCAGAGGTATAGACAGCCAGAGACTTTTCCCTAGGGTGGAGGTAGCTAGTACGAGGGGGCATAGTGTTAAAGTGAGTGAGGGTAGATATAGGGGGGACATCAGAGGTAGGTTCTTTACGCAGAGTGCGGTGGGGAGTGGAATGCATTGCCGGAGAGGGTAGTGAAGTCGGCCTCATTACGGGCGTTTAAGAGGTTATTAGATAGGCATATGGACGATAGTATAAGGTAGGGGTGGAGGTTAGATCGACCTTAGGTTTAGGGTAAAAGTTCGGCACAACATCGTGGGCCGAAGGGCCTGTACTGTGCTGTTCTATGTTCTAAAAATTGGCATGAAGCTGACAGTACATAAAATCCAAAAGCAGGAATGTAATTTGGGAATGGCTAGCCACAGCCAGAATTTTGTGTACAGTCCTGGTCATCGCATTACATGCAATTCATAATTGCATTTGAGAGAGTTATGGAGATTCACAAGAATGTTGTCAATGCTTGAAAATTACAGCTATGAGGAAAGGGCTGTTTTCCTTAGCATAGAGGAGGCTGAAGGGTGACTTCATGGGGGTGTATAAAATAATGAGGCATTAGATAAAGAAGACAGGAAGGACCGACTTCCCCAACAGAGAGGTCAATAACCAGTGGATGATTTAAGGTACAGAAACAGAAGTTGCTGGAAAAGCTCAGCAGGTCTGGCAGCGTCCGTGAAGAAAAAACAGAGTTAACATTTC